CACCTGGCTCCTGCCATCGGATCAGCGCGGTGTACCAGCCACAGCGCGCCGGCCCCGGTGGCCATTGGAGAGTGAACCAACGGCAAAAGGAAGACCTTTCTCTCTGTCTCTCTCTCTCTCTCACTGTCCACTCTGCCTGTCAAAAAAAAAAAAAAAAAAAAAAAAAAAAAAAAAAAAAGAAAGAAAGAAAGAAATGAATAAAGTGAAGCCCTACACAAGCTTGAATCCTAGCTGTCCTTACAATGGAACCCTGTTGGTGTGTTGGTAAGCTGTTGGAGAGGGAAAGCAATTACATATCCATTTGCAATTTCCTATCTGTTTTAAGGGGCCTGAGTCCTTGGGCTCTGACTTCCAGAGGAATTTCTTGGCCCTTTTCTTTTTCTTTTGTAGAGATTTATTTATTTGAAAGTCAGAGTTACACACAGAGAGATGGAGAGGCAGAGAGAGAGAGAGAGAGAGAGAGAGAGAGAGAGAGAGGTCTTCCATCCACTGGTTCACTCCCCAATTGGCCACAATGGCCGGAGCTGTGCTGATTCGGAGCCAGGAGCCAGGAGCTTCTTCCAGGTCTCTTATGTGGGTTCAGGGGCCCAAGGACTTGGGCCATCTTCTACTGCTTTCCCAGGCTATAGCAGAGAGCTGGATTGGAAGTGGAGCTGCCAGGACTTGAACCGGCGCCCACATGGGATGCTGGCACTGCAGGTGGCGGCTTTACCAGCTATGCCACAGCACCAGCCCCTCTGAGCCCTTTTCTTTAACCTCTTACATGAGACAGGAAGTCTGGTGGGGGCTGGGTGTCTATTCGCTCTTACCCTAGGTAGGCTAAGGCTCTGATCAAGTTTTTCCTTTGAAGACAGGTCTTTAAAGAGAACCAAATGTTGCAGGCGCATTTCAGATATTTACTTTCCCTCTTTCTCTGCAGAAGCATCAAAGGATTTACCACCCCTCCCTGGTGGGGCTCATGGCGGTAAAACCTGAAGGATTTTGAGGCCCCTTTACGCTGTGCCCCAACAAGTTACTAACTCTCCAATTAGTTTATGCTAAGTTGCCAGCAACTAGGCAACTATCATTTGCATGTTCCTACCAGTTCTTGGATCCAGGATTATCTGCTTCCAGTGAGGTGCAATCCTCCGTATTTATCTGTCTCTTCAGGTTAGATTTGTCCCGTGACTTAATTATTTTTCTTGGAAGAAAATCACTTTATTCTACTCATAAACAATAACATTACTACAGCCGTTCAAGGAGACCAAGTATCTGTGCAGCCCTAAGTTCGATACCATCTCAGTGAGTTTCCACACAGCAAGGATGCCCTCTTCCACTGCAGTGCTGAACCAAGGATGCTCTTCAAAGCAGGCGACAGCTTGACCTGTTGGCTTTACACTTTACACTTTGACCACCAATTACATTTTCATGCTAAAATAACTTGCCCATGAGATTGGATTTTCTACTTCATCTTGAACTTCTTCATTAGACTAACCCATTTGCAGTTCCACACTGTCTCAGGACTTTACTGAAACCCTCATAGAGCCTAACATCACCCTGGTTCTGGGCACACTCCAAAAACCACTTCATCACTCCTGCTGCTGTGCTGACTGGTCTCCCTCACGCACCTGGTAAGCGATGCTGGGACTTGAGGACTCAGAATACTTCCTCCACTGAAGCCGCCAGTGGTAGCATGACCCAGTGCATGCCCACAGCAGAGCCCACGGCCACGCCAGCTGCAGTGGCTGCCATCTGGGCCATCAGGCCTGGCTGTTGGGCTGCAGCAGACATTGGGGCTGCTCGTGGCTGGGCTGCCGGCACTGGCCGTGGTGCAGCTCTCCTTTGAGGTGCCCGGCTGGCCAGAGGAGCCATGCGGGAAGTACAGGTTCAGCTTCCACATCATGTGGAAGTCTACCCTGGTGAATCAGTTCCTAGCAGAGCTAAGAAATGTTGATTTTCAGTTATTCATCTTTTTCCAGTGTGTGAAGGCAGGAATGAGGACTTCCAAGCCCTTTACTCAGAGGTGTGAGAGTGGAATTGGAAGCCAGTGCTGTGGCAGAGCGGGTAAAGCCTCTGCCAGTTTTGACAAGAGTCCTGCTAAATCAATTTATCCAGAATCCCTCTTACCTAATTTCTGCAAAAAACTCCATTGCAATAGTTCCTGTATCAGTTGCAATAGTTTTAAAAAAAGATACCCCAGATATGAGCTTCTTGTCAGATGTGGTTTATCAAATGTGTTTTGCAAAATTTTCCCCCAGTTTTTAGCTTTTCTTTTTCATTTTTACTTTATTTAAAGTATTTTTCTAAAAATTTATTTGAAAGGCAGAGTTACAGAGAGATATACTCCCCAATGTCTGCAAATGGCCCCAGGCAGGGCTAGGCTGAATCCAAGAGCCAGGAGAGTCATCTGGGTCTCCCATGTGGATGGCAGGAACCCAAGCACTTGGACTATCTTCCACTGCTTATGCAGGCACATTAGCAGGAAGCTGGATCAGAAGGGGAGCAGCCATGATACAACTCAGTGCCCATACGGCATGCCAGTGTCATAGGTGGCAGCTTATTCTGCTGTGCCACAGTGCCAGCACCCCATCCTTCATTTTCAAAGCATAGTCCTTGGGGCTGGCACTGTGGTATAGTGGGTAAAACTGCCACTGTAGTACTGGCATCCCATATGGGTACCAGTTCAAGTCCCAGCTGCTCTACTTCTGATCCAGTTCTCTGCTATGGACTAGGAAAGCAGTGGAAGATGGCCCAGGTGCTTGGTCCCTGTACCTATGTGGAAAACTCAAAAGAAGCTCCTGGCTTCAGATCAGCCCAGCTATAGCTGTTGCAGCCATTTGGGGAATGAACTAGCAGATAGAAGACTTCTCTCTCTCTCTCTCTCTCTCTCTCTCTCTCTCTCTTTCCCTGACTCTCTATCACTCTGTCTTTCAAATAAATAAATAAATCTTTAAATACACAAAACAAAAAAACATGGTCCTATGCAGGGCAAAAGGTTTTTTAAAAAATATTTAATTAATTTATTTGAGAGACAGAGCTCCCATTTATTGGTTCACTCCTCAGTTGTACAAAATGAAGCCAGGAAGTGGGAACTCACTGCAGGTCTCCCATATGGGTGGCAGGGATCCAGCCACCAGAATTATCATCTGCTGCCTGCCAGGATCTGCAATAGCAGGAGGATGTAATTGGCCATGGAGCTAGGACTTGAACCCAGGCACTCTGATATGAGATATGCACGTCCCAAGTGGCATCTTTTTTATTTATTTTTAAAAAAGATTTATTTATTTGAAAGGCAGAATTACAGAGAGAAAGTGGCATCTTAACCAATAGCCATCCACTAAAGGGCAAAAATTTTGCATCTTGATGAGGTGCAATCATTAAAAAATTGTTTTGAGGGGCAGGTACTGTGGCGTAGTGGGTAAAGCCACCACCTATAGTGTCAGCATCCCATTTAGGCACCAGTTTGAGTACCAGCTGCTCCACTTCCAATCCAGCTCTCTGCTATGGCCTGGGAAAACAGTAGAAGATGGACCAAGTCCTTGGGCACCTGAACCCACATAAGAGACCTGGAAGAAGCTCCTGGCTTCTGATCGGCTGAGCTCTTGCCATTGTGGTTATTTGGGGAATGAACTAGCAGATGGGACTCTCTCTCTTTCTCTCTCTCTCTCTCTCTCTGTGTGTGTGTGTGTGTGTGTGTGTCTGCCTTTCATATAAATAAAAAAAAAACTTTAAAAAATTCTCCAATGAAACTATCTGGGCATGAAGATTTAGAAAGAGGCCTCTCTTACCCACTGGTTCACTCCCTAAATACCTGCAACAAGGCTGAAGTCTGGTGCTAGAATTGAGCCCACATATGTGATAGGGGCACAGTTACTGGAACCATCACCTGCTGCCTCCCAAGGTGCTCATTAATAGAAAGCTGGAATCAGAAGTAAAGCTGGGACTCAAAAACCAGTGCTGTACTCTGGGGTCTGGGTGTCCCAAGCAGTGTCTTAACCCTTGTGCCAAATGTCCAACTTGAGGTTTATTTGTCAGGTGTTTGAGGAGTTGTTTATGGTATTCTTTTTATGTCTGCTATAGTGGTATCTCCTGTTTCACTGCTGACATTGGTAATCAGTGCCTCCTCTATAGCTTTGTCGATTTTATTGACTTTTGCAGAGAGCAATCTTTTATTTGATTTTTCCACTTATTTTTCTTCTTCGGTTTCATAGATGTCTAGTATTATCTTTATTATCTCCCTTCTTTTACGTGCTATGGATTTCTTTTCTTCTTTTTAGTTTCCTTAAGTGGGAACTTGGTTCTTGATTTGAGAATTTCTTCTTTTGTAATGTAAAACTTTAGTAGCATAAATTTTCCTCTCACCACTGCTTTAGCTGCACCCCACACATTTTTATATAATCATTTCATTTTCAAACATTTTTTTAAAAAATGTGAGATCTCTTTGAACCATGCATTATTCAGCATTGTGTTTCCAAGGGTTTGGAGATTTTGAAAGATCACACCATCTTTCTGTTACTGGTTTTTACTTTATCTCTTCAGAGACCACATTCTATATGATTTCTTTTAAATTTGTCGAGATTTGTTTTAAGGCCCAGGTCATGGGTTACCTTGGTCAATGCTCAAAGGATGCTGTGGTAAATGCTTGACTAGAATGTGTTTCCTGCTGTTCAGGGGAGGAATGTTCCCTAAATGAGGATTACTCCCCTTCCTGTGGTTGGTTGGTAGTGTTGAGTTCACAGAGGTATGGAGGAAAGGTTGGGTTACAGCGTTTGGTTGTGTCCCGGATAGCCCGAAGGGACACACCTCCTCTAGTTTCCTTTCCTCTGACAGTTCAGCCCCGCTGTCCCTACATCACTTCAACATGGCCGCCCGCAGACCGGAAGGTCGGCGCGGGCGCTGCCATATTGGCTGTGAGCCTCAGCCGCCCAAACGGGAGCGTTTGGCCGAGCGCCATGTTGACTACTGGCAATCCGGCCGTGAAGCCTTTTCTGGGCATGCGCACGCGCAGGCCGCGCCGCCTCGCATCCAGCTGGGGCAGGGAGGGAATGACAAAAAGGAAGTGGGTTGCGTTCTAACGTCTGCGACCGTAGTCGCCGCCCGGGGCAGATGAGACAGCGTGGGTGAGGGTCAGGTGAGTGCCGGGCTGAGCATCTGTGCCCTGAGTGAAGAGGGGCCTCTGACGTCCGTGATGAGCCGTGCCCTGAGCGACAGGGCGGGATGTGGACGGAACACCGGAGTCAGCGACCTGGGATGGTCGGTCTGGGCGGGGTGATGCGGTTTGCGGGGTCCGTGAGGATGGAGGTGCGGTCCAGTGAGGCGCCCTGTGGGGGGTCTGAGGCGGGTGTGTGGGAAGTGTAACTGGGGACCGAGAAGGGAGGTGTGTGAGGGTGAGCGATCCTATCGGATTTCCTCTCTCCTCTATGCGTAGTGGTCTGCCTACACTTCACGTGTCTGACTCGTTATCATGGCATAATTTGCTGGGGATTTCTGAAATACAGCTGGGGGGTTGCATCCAATTTTCCACTTATTTTTGTTTTGATCCCTCCGTATTCTGATTGGTAGCTCCTTTGCCATTCCTATTATGTTTATATATTATTCTTTCTCTTATAATCGTGTATCTCAAGGATTTATTTTATGGGACATCTTGAAATACTGGCTCTTGGTTTTGTTTGCATCCCTTACTCTTTTAATTTTTCCTTTTTAGATGCTTCCTCCTCCCGCCCCCGCTTCGCCCTTGATGTAATTTGTTGTTTTTATCCTTTATTAAGTTTTATACTGGATGCATTTAGGGTTGTAAAGGTTTTCTACATCTTTATCCATGAAACGTATAAATTCATTTTGATGCCCTACTTTAATCCTGAGTTATTTAGGAGAGTTGCTTCATCCCCAGATTATTGAGATATTTTGATTGCTTATTTTTTAAATCATTATTTTGTCTGAAAATGTAGACTGTCAAGTCTCAACTTTAATTTTTTTTTTTTTTTATTTGAATGGCAGAATGATAGGAGAGACAGAAAGAGAGATCTTCTGTCAGCTGGTTCACTCCCCTGAAATGGTCAGGGCTGGTCCAGGCTGAATCTAGGAGCCCAGAACTCCATCTGGGTCTCCCAAGTGGGTAGGGCCCAAGCACTCGGAACATCTTCCACTGCATTCCCAGGCATTAGCAGGGAGCTGGATTGGAAGAGAAGCAGCTGGCAGTGGAACCAGCTCTCCATTATAGGATGCACGTGTTGCAAATGGCAACTTAACCCACCACAACAATGCCAGCCACTCAACTTTTTAAAATTTATCAAGACACTCTGAAGCCAAGTTGCACAGTGAACTTTGTTCAGTGGATATGAGAAAGTGTGTATTTTGTTTATATGATACACAATTCTCTTCATACATGTTAACTCTAGCTTGTGCTTGTATGTTTCAAATCTTTGTCTTTTCTGAATTTTGATTTTCTTGATAGATTCATCATATTATGGAAGAGATAAAATACAAATTGCTCACTTTGATAGTTCATTTTATAGTTCTGTTGCGCCTATTTGCCTTGATTTTTTTTTGCTGCCAGAGTAATGAATTAGAGTTCAGTGAGACAAAAGTAGAGATAGTAAGGGAACGGGCCAGGTAAGAGAGAACCTGGTCCCTTATTGTCCTGCCTGGGGGCTTTTGTCCCTAACGGATGAGGTGCGTTGACTGGTGATGTGGCCATGATGTTCACGACTGGCATTTTTGATCCACACCTTGGAGTTGCATACCTTCGGGGTCTCTGTGCATGTGGCTATAAACTAGACTTTTCTGATTTCATTGAGCACCTGTTTTAACAGGTTAGTTTTTTTTTTTGTTTGTTTTTTGTTTTTTAAGATTGATTTTATTGGGGCCAGCACTGTGGCATAGCAGATAAAGCTGCCACTTTCAGTGCTGACATCCCATATGGGTGCCCATTTGAGTTCCGGCTGCTCTACTTCGATCCAGCTCTCTGCTATAGCCTGGCAAAGCAGTAGAAGGTGGCCCAAGTTCTTGGGCCCCTGCACCCACATGGGAGACCTGGAAGAAGCTCCTGGCTCCTGGCTTCAGCCTGGCCCAGCCCCAGCTGTTGCAGCCATTTGGGGAGTGAACCAGCAGATGAAAGATTTTTTCTCTCTGTCTCTCCACTCTCTCTGTTACTCTGCATTTCAAATAAATAAACAAATCTTTAAACAAAAGAATGGCAGTTATATATAGGGAGAAGGAGAGATAGATAGAGATCTTCTATCTGCTGGTTCACTCCCCAAATGGCCACAATGGCCTGGGCTGGGTCAGGCTATAGCCAAGGACTTGGGCCGTCCTCCACACTTTTCCTAGGTGCATTAGTAGGGAGCTGGATTGGCAGTGGGGCAGAGAAGACTCAAACTGGCACCCATATGGAATGTTGCCATTGCAGGCCACAATGTTGGCTCCTTATCAGGATACTTGAACCATAAGTGAAGTGGGTAAAAGTGAAGAATCAAGTGTCCAGTTGGTAATTTTTTTTTTAAAGATTTTATTTGAGAGGCAGAGTTACAGACAGAGAGGGAGACAGAGAGGTCTTTCATCCTCTGGTTCACTCCCAATATTGCTGCAATGGCCAGAGCTGGGCTGATCTGATGCCAGGAACCAGTAACTTCTGCTGGGTCTCTCTCCTGGGTACATGGGCCCAAGCCCTTAGGCCATCTTCCCTGCTTTTCCAGGTCACAAGCAGAGAGCTGGATTGGAAGAGGAGCAGCCAGGACTCAAACTGGAGCCCATATGGGATGTCAGCTCCACAGGCAGAGGCTTAGTCTCCTATGCCACAGCACCAGCCCCAGTTGGTGATAATTTGAAAGGCTAGTGAAGTCATATAATATCTGACACAGGAATTGCATTCTGTGTGGATGACTAATTTTGTAATAGTAACAGTAGTCAGTGTTAGTAAATGTGTATGTGTCACACATGGGCTGGGTACTTTTCAAAAGTATTATGTTTATCCAATTAAGTGTAAAGATCAGAAAACAGATTGAAGTGAATTCTTCAGGTTCTCATAGCTGGAGCGTGGAAGAGCTGAGTTTCAGATCTATGTTGTTTTTGCTCCCTGAGCCACCCTGCTCCACTTTGGGTGCAGTGGCCTGCACTTGTGCCTCGTGGCTCTTACTCTCTGTTACCCTGTCTCCACTTGGACCTTTTGTGTTTCAGCCCAGCACAAGGTCAGACTACTTGGCTGAACCTTCAGGTCCCTTTTTCAGACTGGCAGTCTTTGGATGTTCACCCAGCTGTGGGCTCCTGGGGAGATTGGAGTTCTAGGAGACAAGGAGGTGAGGGCCAGTGAGAACACGTCAGCTCAGGAGAGCTTGTCCTGGAGGTCCTGGATCCTGCCTTGGGATGAGTGACATTCCCCGTGAGGGGCGAGACAGAGCAGCAGGAGCAGGAATTCTCTCAGAGCTGGACTTGCTAAGCCAAAGCATATTCTGTTTGCCAGCATAAACACTGCACACCCCAAGGCTGTTCCCTGTAGTGGGAGAGATTTTAAAAAAAGTACTTATTCTAGAAAACATAACTATGCATCAGTGTAGAGAGAGTGATATAATGAGCCCCGACTCTCATCATCCAGTCTCAGCAGTGCTCAGCACTCTGCCAGTGTGGTTTCACCTTTTCCTTTTCACGTACTTCATTTTGGCTGAATAATTTAAAACATTTCAAAACCCCAGACAATATAGATGCTTTAGCATGCAGGACCAAGTGAACTTTTAAAAGATTTGTATATTTATTTGTTTATTTGAAAGGCAGCGTGACAGAGAGAAGGAAATCTTCCATCTGCTGGTTTACTCCACAAATGGCTGCAATGGCCAGGATTGGGTGAGGCAGAGTCCAGGAATCCAGAGCTCCATCTGTGTCTCCTGCAAGGGTAGAAGGGGTGCAACGCCTTACGTCATCATCCACTGCTTTCCTGGGTTCATTAGCAGGGAGCTGGATTAGAATCAGAGCAGCCAGGACTGAAACTAGTACTCCAATATGGAATGCTGACTTGAACCTGCTTTTCTTTTCGTCAGACCATCATACCATTACACACCTAACAAAAGTTATGGAAACTCATTATTATTATTTCATACTCAGTGTCTAGTCACATTTCCTTTATTATCTAAAAAATGTCTTTTAGGGTCTGGCACTGTGGCATAGTAGGCTAAGCTTCCACCTGTGGTGCCGGCCTCCCATATGGGTGCTAATTTGAGTCCTAGCTGTTCCTCTTCTGATCCAGCTCCCTGCTATGGCCTGTGAAAGCACTAGAAGACACTCCAAGTCCTTGGGCCCTTGCACCCATGTGGGAGACCTGGAAGAAGCTCCTGGCTCTTGATCAGCCCAGCTCCGGCTGTTGTGGCCATTTGGGGAGTGAACCAGAGGATGAAAGACCTTTCTCCCTTGTTTAGGTGTGGTATGATGGATCATCTGCCTTATTTAGGTTTGTTGTAATAGTTGGCTGTTTGTGATTGGCTGAAAGTTTTGGTTTGTTTACATATTAAAGAAGGTTGCAGTTGGTTATGTAGGGACTGTAGGTAGAGAGGCAGTCTCAGGCCAAATTTAAGTTAATTTAATGGTAGGTTTAGAGGTTTGATCACTTTCAGGTTCTTTTGTTTTCTGTATTTCTTGGCAGGACTGCTCTCCAGGTAGCATCGTATATTTCCATCAGGAAATCAGCAGCCAGAGACAGTCATTTCCTGGATAGGCTTCTGCTATTCCATTTCTACCATTCCTTCAATCAATGGCTGGGTTAATTACACAAAGAAAGAGAAACCCCTTCATCAGTGTTGGGTTACACTAAGTTTCAGCTACACTAGAAATGCAGCAGAAATGCCTGACCCTTTTTCCTTTCTTTACAGTCTCAAAAGGGATAATTTGATTCCCTATCAGGTTCCAGAAATTTTAGAAGTATTCTCTGTCTTGATTTGGGTGGCAGAGGCACAGCATGGAAAATATGAAAAATGCATCCAGTTGTGTTCCTAATACTTAAATACTCTGTATAAGTTATGTTGCAACAAAAAATTAACAAGTAGCCACAAATTTTACTTCTATTAGAAAATATAAATGGACATATCTAATATAAAAATAAACGCAAAAGTAAGTTTAGGGGCCAGCGTTGTGGCAGAGTGGGTAAAGCTGCTGCCGGCGATGCCAGCATCCCGTATGAGTGCCAATTTGAGACCCAGCTGCTCCACTTCTACTCCAGCTCCATGCTAACATGCCTGGGAAAACAGCAGAGGATGGCCCAAGTCCTTGGGCACCTGCACCTGTGTAGGAGACCTGGAAGAAGATCCTGGATCCTGGATTTGCACTGGTCCAGCTCCAGCCATTGAGGCCATTTGGGGAGTGAACCAGCAGATGGAAGATCTCTCTTGCTCTTGCTCTCACTCTGTCTCTGTTTCTGTAAACTTTGACTTTCAAATAAATAAATAAATAAATCTCTTTTTTTTAAAGGTAAATTTAATTGAGAAATATTGAAGTGCATGGAAAGGAACCTGCTTCCAAACCAGACAGAGAGAAGATGTGTTTTTAGAATAATTGTGGAACTTGTGTATGAGCTGAATATTAAAATAGTATTATAGGATTATTAATTTCTTAGACTTGATGCTCTTTCAGAAGATTTATGTGATACATTTGGTTACAACATGTCACAACATCCACAACTTACAAATTGTTCAACAACAGCAAAAGTACATGAATATAGGAGAGGCAGAACTTTACTGCTCTATTTGCTTAGAGTGGTTTTGGGTGTGCCTGAGAATTAGATTTAATTTAAAACAGATTAATGGTAGAAAAGCATACAAATTTCATATGACATTGAAACCTCATAAGGAGATGACAAAGTAGCAAGAGAAAGAAAAAAAGTCATGAAAAAGTACATGAATGATGTGGGGAAGCCAAAAGAAGATAAGAAATCATTTTAACAATGTTTGTGCAAAATCCTCTTGGCTATGACTCCTCATCAAAGAATGTCTTGGGGCCGGCATTGTGGCACAGTGGCTTAAACAGCAACACACAACACACAACACCAGCATCCCTTACTAGAGCTCTAGTTCAAGTCCTGGCCCCTCTGCTTCTGATTCAGCTCCCTGCCAGTGCACCTGGAAAACCAGCCGATGATGACCTCAGTACTTGGGCCCTTGCTACGCATGTGAGAGACCTGGATGGAGTTCTTGGCTCCTGGCTTTGACCTGGCCCACCCCTGGCCATTGTGGCCATTCAGGGAGTGAACCAGTGGATGGAAGATCTCTCTTTGTCTCCATCTCACTCCCTCTTCCCTAGCCCCTGTCACTCTGCCTTTCAAATAAATAAATAAATCTTTCAAAATGAATGATTCTTGGGGTTGCCATTTAGCCTAGCTGTTAAAATGCTCACATTCCATTTTCAGCTCTGGCTCCTGACTCCCCAGGTTCTTGCTAATGCAGACCCCAGGAGGCAGTGGTGATGATGGCTCAAGTAATTGGGTTCCTGCCACCTGTGTTGGAAACCTGGATTGAATTCCTAACTCCTGGTTTGACCTTGACATAGCCCCAGCATTATGAGTACTTAGGGGGCGAACCAGCAAATGAGAGATCTCTCTTTCTCTCTGCCTCTCAAATAAATAAATAAATAAAGCTTTTAAAATAAAGAAGAATGTTTCTTTTGTCCTGTTGTAGTGAGGCATCTTTCCTTTGGGAGTTTTATCTCCTCTTTTTAGGAAGAAAAGGGGAAATTACAATGCCTTTCTTGCATTTTGAAAGTGCTGTTAGTTCAGAAGAATCCCAATTCCAAAGTGGCATAATTTGCAGTGCGTAGTCTGCCAGCCTTTGTTGTGAGAATGTAAGTAGCTAGGAAAGCTACGGCCGAACAGCTGCTAGGACAGCTGCGGCCCGACGGCTTTGGACAGCTAGCTCCTCACTACCACATGTGGGCTGGTGATTGACAGCTGCAGGCAGGCCCTGGTTTGACAGCTCCTGCAGTGCAACTGTGGCAGTTGGCCCATATGACAGCTCGACTGGGCCCACGTGACAAGTCTCCTGTGCAGTATCCACACTTACTTTCCTTTCTCTGCACAACTCAAGCCTCCCTTTCTGTCTAGGCCTGCTTTCTATGCACCACCAAGGACCACCCCCTATCCTTGCCCTGGCCCCATCCCCACCTCCACCCCATGTAGTGGAAACCACAAGTTCCACCACGTGGGAACTTGGAACCAGTGCTGGCTGGAAATATCCAGCTTGGCCGTAGGATGGGTTTCCCCCTCCCCTCAGTGACCTTTAGGTCATTATAGTAAATTGCCACAGGGCACTCCCACTCCCATCATGCATTTCATCTGTGACCCTTCCCTTATTTCCTAAAAAGAGCATGGAAATGGGCAGTGTTCTAGTCCTGCCCCAGACCCTGCCTCTGCCCTGGACGTTGGCCCATGGCTCTGGAGATTATAAAAGGAAAGCCTAACTTTGTTTAGGGGACTTTTCACTGTTGGGTGTTATTTCCTTGGTAAGGAGTTTTTCTTTGGGACCTTTTTGTCTGTTTGTTCATGCACTGCTTGGTTCTTGAGTTTGCCCTTTTGTTTTGCTCTGAGTAAATCCTGCTCTCTTGTACAGCTTTATGCCTCCACCTTTGAATTCTTCCATGCATGCAGTAAGCCTAGCTGGGAGCCCCCCAGCCCAGATACCTTCATATGTATGCTGTATGATATATCATCCGTATATGAATTTATTTGTGAGTGTGAATGATTAAGCAGATATGGCAAAATTCTAATTATAGAAGCTAGATGTACATTTCTTGAACTAATTATTCATTTTTTTTTTTAATGTCAGACAAACTGCCATGAAAGGAATTGGAAACAACAGCCTGACTTACTCAGTGACTTAACTAAAGGCTTAAGGTTCCTTCTTGATTGGAACCTCATTCACTTACTTCATTGTACCCAAGACAACTTTTTATTGGAAATTCTCTTTTAACAACTGTTTACAATGGAAAACAGTAAAAAGCCTAGAATGCTTGCTTTTTTGGTTTCTTTTGTAAATATTCTCACTACTTGGAGTGGGCTGGTCACAGAAGCTCAGAGTAAAATCACTGAGAGGTATTCCTTACAAACAATTATTTTATTTTTTTCCCCTTTAACTGACAAATAAAAATAATATAACATGAAAATTACCTTATATCATATGTTAACATGTAGCAATTTCCTTCCAGATAATATTTTCTTTGTGCATGAATGCATTTCTATATGTGTTATGTACACACATATACACATATATAGTATAATACAAATGGAATCATACTGCTTGGTATATCTTTTAATTTTGAATTAGCATTTTGGCATTTTTCTATAGTATTTTAATTTTATATTACAGTATATCCTTTGGACATTCTATGAAATATTTAAGTAGTCTATAATTAACTGGATTTCAAGGTGCTTCTGGCCCTCTTTGGTATTAGCCATGTGATGATAAAACTCCTACATTTGAATCTTTGTGCATATGGGATGATTTTTTTAAATAATGTAGCATTAAATGTAAAGTTTTGGCTTAGAGAGACCTGGGCACTAAATGACGTGTGTGTGTGTGTGTGTGTGTGTATGTGGTAGCAGCACACTTTCTGCTCTCATCTGTACCTCTGCCCATCTGTTTTCTCAGATCTCTGCCTCTTTCCCAGAAGAGCCAAAAATGAACGAGTCCCTGGTGAGTTCTTATTTGTTTGCCTATTTACTTGTTGCTTTCTGTTATTTTCTAGTGGATTTTAAGAGGCTTCTAACAGTGCTTATAGTAAGGTAGATAAGGATAGAGAAATTAATCTAAAATCAGAGGAAATAAAGGAGACCTCAATTCTAAGTCTAGTTTGGAATATAGATATATATGTCACATAGCTTCCCACAGTTATGAACTTTGAACTGTAAAGTTGTTTCTGCTCTTCCTGACTGTGATGGCAATGATGGACACTGGCTGTATGGTTTGTATTACTAACAAGTCATGTATCTCCTCTGTGGTAAAGTTTACCCAGTTCTTGATGTTTGAGAATATTCTTGATGGATGGTGTCAGAATAGCGTCTTCAGCAGCACCCTTGTTTTCTCTTGTTATCTTAGGGAGCAGTGCTTCTCACACTTGACTTGCATATGAATTCAAATTCTGACACAGAAAGTCTGGGATGGGCTGCAAGAGTTTGCATTCTCAGAATCCCACCGAATGTCAGTGGGACTTATCCAAGGATCATCCTCTCAAACAAACTTGAGGTTTTATTATGAGTGTATTTTGAATTTTGTCAAATGCTTTTCTGCATCAGTTGACCTGATCATGTGATTTTACTTCTTTTGAATTGACCTTGCATCCTTAAAATAAGCCCTGCTAGGTCATGTTGTATAATTGATTTTATGTTTTTGTATTTGCTAGTATTTTGTTAAGGGTGTTTATATCATGTTTATGAGAGATACTGCTTTTTATCTCTCTCAGTACTGGCCTTGGTTTTAGTATATAGTAATTGGCTTCATAAAGTGAATTGGAATGTGTTTTTTAAAGATTTTATTTATTTGAAAGGTAGAGTTACAAACAGAGAGAGGAAAAGACAGAGAGAAAAGTGTTCCATCCTCTGATTCACTTCCCAAATGGCCACAGTGGCTGGAGCTGGGATGGTCTGAAGCCAGGTCTCCCACATGGGTGCAGGGGCCCGAGAACTTGGGCCATCTTCTACTGCTTCCCCAGGCCATAGCAGAGAGCTGGATCGGAAGAGGAGCAGCTGGGTCTTGAACCAGTGCCCATGTGGGATGTTGGTGCTTCAGGCCAGGGCGTTAACCCGCTGCACCATGGAACTGGCCCCTCAATGTCTTTAATAGTTGATTGCTACTCATACTTTCTACTTAATATTGAGAGAGTTGTGGATTGTATTTACTGAGGAATCGATCCCTTTCATCTATTTGTCAAATTTATGTGTGTAGAATTGTTCAAAGTCATGTTAGACTGCTTGGACTCCTATAATAAAGTCCCATAGACTGACTGGATTAAACAACCGAAATTTGTTTTCTCACAGTTCTGAAGGCCAGAAGTCAGAGATCAGAGGGTCCGCATGGTCAGGTTCTGGTGAGGGCTCTCTTCCTGGCTTGTGGCTGGCTGCCTTTCCTCCGAGTCGTCACCTCGCCTTTCCTTAGCCTGCTTGCCTGTGGAGAGAGATCTGTCGTCTTTTCTTCTTGTCATAAAAGGCCACCAGCCAAATTAGGACTGCGCTCGTATCACCTCATTTAATCTTCATTACCTCTTAAAACTCTAATCTCCAAATACACTAACACTGGGAATTAGAGCTTCAACATTTTAATTTTTGGAGGATATGATTCAGTCTATAGTAATAATATCCCCTTATTATCCTTTTAATATCTGCAAGGTGTGTAGTGGTATCTTCTGTCTCATTCCTCATATTAGTTTTTTATGTTTTCTCTTTTTTGGTGTATCAGTCTTAGACGTTTATGAAGTTCAATAAGTGATCTTTCCATACAATTTGTTTTTCCTTGTACTGATTTGCTCTGTTTTCATCCTTCCAATTTCATTGATTTCTGCCTTGTATCTGTAATATTTCCATTCTTTTTGCTTGCTCTGGGTTTATCTTAATCTTCGCTTTCTAGTTTCTTGAGGTGGAATCTTGATTTGAGAAGTAAGTCACTTTTTTCTTACCACTGCTTTGGTTGCATCTCATAAATTTTGATATTTTTCATTTTCATTCAATTCACTGTAATTTTTTATTTCCTCAAGACTTCCCTTATGATTCATTTATTCTTCCTTTGCTATTAGAGTTGTGGTGTTTGGTTTCCAAGTGCTTGGAGATTTTCCTGTTATCTTTCTTTTACTGATTTCTAGTTTGAATCCATCATGTTCATAGAATATTCTCTATGATTTCAGTTCTTTTAAATTTATTGAAATTTATCTCGTTACTGTAGCAAGTGTTTAGAGAGGGATGTTGAAATCTTTCTCATTTTTGTACCATCAATTGTTACTTCAAGTATTTTGCAGCTCTATTGTGTGGCGTCTCTGTATTTAGGATACTATTCTTGATGAATTGACCCTTTTATCATGTTTATGAAGTGAATATTTGTGTTCCTCAATTCATCTGTTGGTTTGAAGGGATGGCCTTTGGGATGAGGTCATGAGAGTGAAGCCTCCGAGCAGGGTTAGAGGCCCTTTAAGAACAGGAAGCAAGCAGAGCTCCCTCTGCTGTGAGAAAGAAGGTGGCTGTCCACAAACCAGGAAAAGTCCTCACCAGTCACTGAATCTGCTGGCACTTTGATCTTGGACTTCTAGCCTCCACGATGAGAAATAAATGTTTGTTGTTTAAATCTTCCAGTCTACATTATTTTGTTATAGCAGTCTGAGCTAAGACATTGTGTAATATCCCTGGTAATTCTGCTTCCTCTGAAGCTGATTTATAAGAATATAGTCATGCCTCCTCCCTCCCTCCCTCCTTCCTTTCCTTCCTAATGCAGAGTGGCAGAGACAAAGGGTGGGGGCTAGGGGGGAGAGATTTTCCATCTTCTGGTTCATTCCTGAGATGGGCTGCACATGGCCCAGGCTGGGCCAGGCCAAAACCACGAGCTAGGAGCTCCATGTGAATCTCCCACGTGGGAGCAGGGGATGTGCCTGGGCCATCGTGCAGTGCTTTCCCAGGCGCATTAGCAGGCAGCTGAGTCTGAAGCATTTGGGACTTGGATGCTGCTCTGATAGGGGATGCTGGCTTTCGATTAGTGTTTGCATTTTATGTATTTGTTAGTTTTCCAGGGCTGTCACAATGCACTGCCATGAATGGGGTAGCTTAAAGCTACAGAAATTTATTGTTTTGCAGTCCTAGAGGAAACAGTCCTAGAGGCTAGAAGTCTGAAATCAGGGTATCGGCAGGACCAGGTCTCTTTTCTACCTTCTAGTGGTTGCTGCAATCTCTGGTATTCCTTGGCTTACAGCTGCATAACTCCAGCTGCCTTCATGCTGAATAGCCATCTTCTCTCTCTGTATCTGTGATCACATGGTATCCACTCCCTGTGTGGCTTCCTGTTCCTCTTCTTAGAAGGACATCAGGGGCCGGCGCCGCGGCTCACTAGGCTAATTCTCCGCCTTGTGGCACTGGCACACCGGGTTCTAGTCCCTGTCGGGATGCCGGATTCTGTCCCGGTTGCCCCTCTTCCAGGCCAGCTCTCTGCTGTGGCCAGGGAGTGCAGTGGAGGATGGCCCAAGTGCTTGGGCCCTGCACCCCATGGGAGACCAGGATAAGTACCTGGCTCCGGCCATCGGATCAGCGTGGTGCGCCGGCCGCAGCGTGCTGGCCGCGGCGGCCATTGGAGGGTGAACCAACGGCAAAGGAAGACCTTTCTCTCTGTCTCTTTCTCTCACTGTCCACTCTGTCAAAAAAAAAAAAAAAAAAAAAAAAAAAAAAAAAAAAAAAAGAAGGACATCAGTTATACTGGATTAAGGACCTACTTGACTTCTCTGTGACCTCAACTTAACTTACATCTTTAATTTTTAAAAAAATATTTATTTATTTGCAAGGCAGAGTTACAGGGAGAGACAAGGAGAGCTAGAGAGAGAGAGAGAGATTTCATCTGGTGTTTCCCTTTCTATGTGTTCACCACAGCTGGGGCTAGGCCAGGCCAAAGCCAGGAGCCAGGAGCTCATCCAGGTCTCCTATGTGGGGTAGGGGCCCAAGCACTTGGGCCATCTTCTACTGCTTTCCCAGGCCATAGCAGAGAGCTCAATTAGAAGAGGAGCATCCAAGACTAGAACTAGTGCCCATATGGGATGCTGGCACTGCAGACGGAGGATTAATGTATTGTACCACAGTGCCGGCCCCTGTGTATTTATTTAGAGGTGAGCAGAAAAGCAGGATTTATTGAAAGACAAAGGGACAGTACAAACTCAGACTTGAGTGCAAGCAACCTCATGAGAGCTAATTGCTCCTACCCAGGCTGGGGTCATCCTTTTAGAGGATAAGAATTGGTGCTTGGGGAGAGTCTGCTTGAATGTTCAAAGGAGGCAGGGTTTTGGGTGGGGCTGCAGCACACGTGGTGGCCTCCAGGAAGGTGTCATGGTGTTGGCTACCTGATGGAAAGTGAGACTTAGCTGCCTGGTGAGGAGTGGGCGTGCTGAGCCTTCAGTCATGCCACACTGGCACAGAAGCAGATGGGATTTGGGTAGTGTGTGTGGCTTGGGTGTCGCAGTCCTTAGCTCCTAGCCACTCCCTAGCTACCTCCCTACCCAGATCTTCCCCCTCTCAGAGATTTTTACCCCTTATTTTTACTGGAGATGGAGGAAGGAATAACATGTTAACTTTAGTAAGATTATGTCTTTCTTCAAAATAACAACATGACATGTAGGGGTTTAGTGGGAACATATATATATATATATATATATATATATATATATATATAGCCTTATATTAGAAATAAGATCCTAAATATCTTGTTCTCATCCTGTAATCTTGATCCTTCATATTGAATAGGACTCTGTTTTTCATAGCAATCAGTGTCTTTCAAGGATGTGACTGTGGACTTCAGCAGGGAGGAGTGGCAGCGATTGGACCTTGCCCAGAAAAGCCTGTACAGAGACGTGACGCTGGAGAACTATTTCAACCTGGTCTCCGTGGGTGAGCACAGCTCTGTGGGGTGGGCACGTAACAGGCTGCACCTGCTGAGTGTATCTCAGTGGACTCTCTGAACTCTCTGGGTTTTCTGAGGTATGTGGGCCTTGTAATTATAGCAGGGCATGGAAGTGTCTCATAGTTCTGTCCTTATTTTGTTCCATGTTCTCAAGAATCCTTTTTTTTTTTTTTTTTTGGCGGGGCAGGGGGTAGTATTGTGAATACACGTTTCTTTCCAGAGAGCTTTTCTGGAAAGCAAAATGGCATGCCTGATGATATAGCTGCTGAACGAAGTCTTCTGTCATTTCTTGCTAACAGGGTGTCGTGTTCCCAGACCAGAAGTTGTCTTTAACTTGGAGCTGGGAGCAGAGCCGTGTGTGTTGGCTGGTGAAGTCTCAAGTCAGAGCTGCTCAGGTAGGTAGGGAGCCAGGAGCAGATCACACAACAGAACCCTGCTGGTGCCGGCAGAGGTGGCCACGTTGAAATGCCGTTCTGAGGACTCTGCTACGTTCTGAGCTCGTTCTGAGCTTTCAGAGATGCTTGGATACAATTGACACTGTCCTCTTACGTATACAAATGCTGTCCCCACTTCTGTACCATCCCAGTGCCTCCTTTGCCTGACATTTTAGAAAGTACTACAGTTATTAGTACCTTGAGTTATGTCCATAGCACACATCATCAAAGATCCCGATTTCTTGATTCTTTCTCATTTCCCTAAAACATTTTATGTCACTGAGGACTTAGATCCTTGTTCTTATGCATCCAAACACTGATGGATCTGCTGCCTTTAAAAATTATTGTGGATCATACTCGTGCCCACTGGTGTCTTTACATTTTCTCTCTTCCCTTTGTGCCTCAGAACTGACCTCTAGGGCTGGGCTTGTTTTATTTGAAACACAGAGTGATACAGAGATTGATCTCCCATCTGCCAGTTCACTCTCCAAGTGGCTGCCCGAAGCCAAAAACCTGAAACTCCGTCTGAGCCTCCCCCGTGGGTCGCAGGGCTCTCTTCTGCCTTCCTGGGCACATGAGCAGGAAGCTGGATTGGAAGCAGAGCAGCTGGGTCTTAAACTGGTGCACATATGAGATGCTGGCATCACAGGCAGCTGCTTAACCCGCAGTGCCACAGTGCTGGCCCCAAGCTGGGCTTATTTTATAATATCCCTGTGCCCCCCCTCCAACCATTGACTTTGAGGGTGCCGTGAATATTTTAATCCTACTTGGCTAGTACAACATAACAACTTCTTCTTTCTGACTAACTTATGTGTTTTGGTATTTTACAGGAAGTTTTTATACCCCATGTGCAGGAGATTGAGTTAGTGACAGTCTTAGGGTCAGTGTCATCGTCGATGTCTGTAAGCCTCCTGTTACTTATTTCTTGTAAGCCTATCCCTGTATGCATTCTGTCCTTCCCAGAGGCATGCTTGTTATTCATCCTTGAATTTTTGTCATATTTATAACATCTACATTGCATTTTTAGTTTATGGAAGTGATGTTGTACTCTATATCCTACTTAATTTTCTTTTTTTTAAAATTGATCCACATGCAATGTGTTTTTTGAGTTCATTACTTCCACCTGTCACATTGCGTTCTGTAATGTTGATATACTCATGTACCATGTTTTACTTGTCCATCCTCCCAGCTACCACAAACAGTACTTCAATGAATTTATTTTTTTATTATTTTAAAATAGCTTCTGTTTTTTGATTGACACATAATTATACATGGGGTATAATGTGTCATTTCAATACATGTATACATTGTGTAATATCAGATTAAACTAATTGGCATATCTGTTACCTCAAACATTTATTATTTCTTTGTGAGGAGAACATGAAAAATCCTCTCCTGGCTGTTTTGGAATATATAATACATTACCGTCAACCATAGTCACTCTGCTGTTCAATGGAGCACCAGACGCCCCTCCTCCTAGCTGACTGTAACATTATATCATTGATTACTCTCTCCTTACCTACCTCCCCACTCTGTGGTAACCACTGTTGCACTATAAACTTGTATGAGATTAACTTTATTTTGGAGTCCACAAATGGGTGAGATCATGTGGTGTCTGTATGTCTCTGGCTTATTTTACCTGGCATAGTGTCATCTAGGTTCATCTATGTTGTTGGCAAACAACAGGATTTCAGCCTTTTCTGTGGCTGAATAATGTCACATTATGTGTGTTTACTGCATTTTACTTATCCATTCATCCATTGATGGACGCTTAGGTTGATTCTGTATATTGCCTCTTGTGAACAGTGCTGCAATAAACATGGGAGTGCATATACCTTTTCAATAGACTATTTCATTCCCTTTGGATATATACCCAATAGTGGGATTATAGTATTATAGATGGCTGTATTTTTAATTTTTCAAAAAGAATGTTAGGGCCTGGCACTGTGGCATAGTGGGTAGAGCCACCACCTGCAGTGCCAGCATCCCATATGGGTGCTGGTTTGGGATCCAGCTGCTCCACTTCTGATCCAGCTCTCTGCTATGGCCTGGGAAAGCAGTAGAGGATGGCCTAAGTGCTTGGACCCCTGCACCTGTGTGGGAGACCACATAGAAGCCCCTGGCTCCTGGCTTTGGATTGGCCCAGTTCCAGCCATTGTGGCCATTTAGGGAATGAACCAGCAGATGGAAGACCTCTCTCTTTGCTTCTGCCTCTGCCTCTCAAATAAATAAATAAATCTTAAAAAAAAAAAAAGGAGGGCCAGTGCTGCAGCTCACTAGGCTAATCTTCCGCCTTGCGGCGCCGGCACACCGGGTTCTAGTCCTGGTCGGGGCGCCGGATTCTGTCCAGGTTGCCCCTCTTCCAGGCCAGCTCTCTGCTGTGGCCAGGGAGTGCAGTGGAGGATGGCCCAAGTCCTTGGGCCCTGCACCCCATGGGAGACCAAGATAAGTACCTGGCTCCTGCCATCAGATCAGTGCGGTGCGCCAGACACAGCGCGCCAGCCATGGTGGTCATTGGAGGGTGAACCAACGGCAAAGGAAGACCTTTCTCTCTGTCTCTCTCTTTCACTGTTCACTCTGCCTGTCAAAAAAAAAAAAAAAAAAAAAAAAAAAAGGAAAATAATGTTAAACAATTTTATGCCAACAATTTTGGAAACTTACAGAAATGCACATATTTTAAAAAAAAAACAAAAATTTAGAAAACTAATGTGAAGAAAAACATTTGAATAGTCTCATATGTGTTTAAGAAATTAAATTCATTTAAAAAATCTTCCCCAGAGAAAAACTAAAGGGCCAAATAATTTCACTGGTGAGTTGAAAATGAACTTTTCTTTATTCAAAGAAGAAATGATAGCACAATAATATATTCTTTCAGTAATAGAGAAGGATCAAATATTTTCCAATTCATTTTGAAAGACCAACATAATGTTTATATCAAAATCTAATGAGTGTAGGAAAACAAATACAGAACTATACTCATAATTAATATACATGAAAAAACACTTCACTAAATATGAAGCCTTAACTAAATAAAACTCAGGAAAAAAATAAAAATAAAATATGAATCATTAAATTTTCTTCTTTCTCTTTTCTGTATCTGCTTTACTGTTGAGATTATACTTTTGCATGATGAGAGTTACTTCTCATTGAAATTATTTTCTATTTACTTGAAAGGCAGAGTGAGAGAAATAAGGAGAGACAGAAAGAGAGAGAGAAGTTATCTTTCATCTGCTGATTCACTCCCTAAATGCCCATAACAGCAAGGGCTGGGTCAGATTGAAGCCAGGAGCCTGAAACTCCAACCAGGTCTCCCACATGGGTGGCAGAGGCCCAAGTACTTGAGCCCTCATCTGCTGCCTCCCAGGCACATTAGCAGGAATCTGGATCAGAAGTGGAGATGGAACTCTATCCCAAGTGCTTCAGATAGGGCCATCCCAAGTAATGGTTTAATCTGCTGTGCCACAGTGCCCACCCCCATTATTTCACTTTTAATGGAGGACTCCCTCAACATATCTTGTAGGGCTGGTTTGGTGGTGATGAATGCTTTCAGTTTTTGCTTGTATGGAAAATATTTCTTCTTTACTTCTGCAAGATAACTGTGCTGGGTATAGTAGTCTTTGGACTTTGAATGTTTTATCCCATTTTCTCCTGGTCTATAAAGTTTCAGCCAAGGAGTCTGCCATTAATGTAGTAAGGATTCCCTTACAAATGACTTGACATTTTTCTCAGACATTTTTTCTTGCTGTTTTTAAGATTCTTTGTCCTTTTTTTTTTTTTTTTTTTTTTTTTTTTTTTTGACAGGCAGAGTGGACAGTGAGAGAAAGAGACAGAGAGAAAGGTCTTCCTTTGCCGTTGGCTCACCTCCAATGGCCGCTGCATCCGGTGTTCTGCGGCCAGCGCACCGCGCTGATCCGAAGGCAGGAGCCAGGTGCTTCTCCTGGTCTCCCATGGGGTACAGGGCCCAAGGACTTGGGCCATCCTCCACTGCACTCCCTGGCCACAGCAGAGAGCTGGCCTGGAAGAGGGGCAACCGGGACAGAATCCGGTGCCCCGCCTGGGACTAGAACCCGGTGTGCCGGCGCCGCAGGTGGAGGATTAGCCTATTGAGCCACGGCGCCGACCTACTTTGTCCTTTTTTTTAAGTACGATTATGGAGATGATCTTTTCTGATCAAATCTATTAAGGTTCCTTTGGGCTTATTGGTCCTGCATATCTGTATCTTATCTGAAAAACAGAGAAGGAGAGGCAGAGAGAGAGAGGTCTTCCATCCGCTGGTTCACTCCCCAGTTGGCCACAACGGCCAGAGCTGTGCTGATCCAATGCCAGGAGCCAGGAGCTTCTTCTGGGTCTCCCAAGTGGGTGCAGGGGCCCAAGGACTTGGGCCATCTTCTGCTGCTTTCCCAGGCCATAGCAGAGAGCTGGGTGGGAAGTGGAGCAGCCAGGACTGGAACCGGCGCCCATATGAGATGCCGGCACTGCAGGTGGCAGCTTTACTTGCTATGCCACAGTGCTGGCCCCAGGACCCAACTACTTAAATTGTCACTGCTGCCTTCCAGGGTACATATGAGCAGGACTCTGGAATGGAAAGTGAATCTAGGATTTAAATCTAGGCATCCAGCATGGGATGTAGGTGTCCTAAGTGGTGGCCTTCCTCTCGCTTATTGTTTTGTTTTGTTTTTTTAATTTTTTTATTTTTTTGACAGGCAGAGTGGACAGTGAGAGAGAGAGACAGAGAGAAAGGTCTTCCTTTGCCGTTGGTTCACCCTCCAATGGCCGCCGCGGTCGGCGCGCTGCGGCCGGCGCACCGCGCTGATCCGATGGCAGGAGCCAGGAGCCAGGTGCTTTTCCTGGTCTCCCATGGGGTGCAGGGCCCAAGCACCTGGGCCATCCTCCACTGCACTCCCTGGCCACAGCAGAGGGCTGGCCTGGAAGAGGGGCAACCGGGACAGAATCCGGCGCCCCGACCGGGACTAGAACCCGGTGTGCCAGCGCCGCTAGGCGGAGGATTAGCCTAGTGAGCCGCGGCGCCGGCCACTTATTGTTTTAATTTTTGGTTTTCTATTGAAATGTGTTGAACACGTGATTCTATATTTTATTAGAACTGAATTAACTTTTAAAAATATATTTATTTTTTTGAAAGGCAAAGTTAGAGAGAGATCCTCTATCCCTGGGTGCACTCCCCAGATGGTTGCAACAGCTGGGGCTAGGCCAGGCCTGGCTGAAGTCAGGATCCTGGAACTCCAGCCAGGTCTTCTACATGGATGGAAGGGGCCCAAGTACTTGGGTTATGTTCTGCTGCCTTCCCAAGCACCTTAGCAGAGAGGTAGTCAAGTAGTTGGGACTTGAAATGGTGCGCAGCATTGCAGGCAGCATCTTAACTCCCTGAGCCACAATGCTGGCTCTGGGTCTGAATTCATTTTTAATGTTTGCATACATATTCCAAGCCTCACCCATTTTTGTTCCCCTTATGCCTCACATCTGGGCAAACTTCTGAGAAAGCTCATGTGTTCCCTTCCTTGGTGCTGGTGGGAAGTTCAAAGTACATAGGGCAGGGTCCGGCGCTGTGGCATAGTGGGTAAAGCTGCTGCCTGCAGTACCAGCATCCCATATGGGCGTTTGTTCCAGTCCTGGCTGCCTCACTTCTGATCCAGCTCTCTGCTTTAGCCTGGCAAAGCAGTAGATGGCCCAAGTCCTTGGGCCCCTGCACCTGCGTGGGAGACCTGGAAGAAGCTCCTGGCTCCTGGCTTCAGATTGGCACATCTCTGGCCATTGAGGCCAATTGGGGAGTGAACCAGCAGATGGAAGTCCTCTCTCTCTCTCTCTTTCCCTGCCTCTCCTTCTCTCTCTGTGTGAGTCTGACTTTCAAATAAATTAATAAATCTTAAAAAAAAAATAAAACAAAGTACATAGGGCAATGGGCAATGGGCAGCCCAGCCCTGTTCCGCAACGATCACCAAGGGCCCAGGCTGCTCTCTTTCCCTTGCTCTGAGGCCACGTTTGGAAGTAAGCTATTTTATACCCTCTTCAGCTGTGTATCCGATCATCACTCCCAACCGGTGAACCAAATCTGGGTTGAGGGTCATTCCTCCTCGCTGGGCAATGGACTGTGGATCCAGGAGCAGGGTGTCAGGGCAGTGGCCACCGAAAGGGCCTTCCTCCTCCAGTGCCTGCTGTGCGTCTGCACTTCACCCAGCCTCTACAGTACCAGCCCAAGTTTAAGTTGCAGTTGGGGACAGGCGTAAGTTGCTGTGGGTTGTATGGTTCAGCCCTGACCTCCCGTGTGTTTCAGACTGAATTGTGTGACTTATTTCCAGTGTGAGTTGTGACTGATGGTTGTGTGTCTCAGCCCACAGCACTCGTATCTGGAGACATCAGTCCTTACATGTTTAAGGGTTCATCAGGCAGCGCCTGTTTAAATGAAGACAAGTTACAGTGCAGCATGCTACAAGCAGTGGCTCACCTTTCAAAATGTTCTAGTCTGTCTCTTTGCCATTTCCTCCAACAGTTTGGTCTGCTCTCCCACCAACTCTTCTCTTTTAGAAAACACTGTTTAGCTGCCCTCTTCCCCTTCTTTCCCAGTGGTTTCTAAACCCATGTCTTTCTTTTCTCATGCCTGGTTTGTTCTCTCTTGGCATTTGTAAGGAACAGAAGGAATGTACCCACATTTTGTAGGTCACATTTTTCTCTGTTTAGTTTCTGTCACCGTGTTGAATCCACTTTAGCAGTTTCCTTGATGTTCCCCGTCTGACCCTGTATGTCGTGACTTCCCTGCCTATCCAGGGAATGTGCCGGCGCCGTGAGGTGGAGGATTAGCCTAGTGAGCCACGGTGCCGGCCTCACTTGCTCCTTGAATTGGACCCTATCACAGCATATGTTGTCTTTTCCTTTCTTTAATTCTCCACCTCACAGAAATTCAGAGAAAATTTCCTAAACTGTATGATAATTGAATCTTTTACCTCTGTACTTTGAAAGCATCTTTCTGTAGAGCCTACTTACTGAAATGATGATCTTGAATTAAATTTGTAAGCAGAGAATGTTGTATTGCTCTATTTCAGAAGTTTTAAAAATATTCCTCTAGGAACAACTCAAAGGGCTAGACACAGTAATCAGAAAGAGAAGATACTGCATGAAATATTTACAGTTTCAGCCTTTGGGCAGTACACATCCAAGCCAATTTAAATATAAACACGAATGGTTCAGGATATCTGTTTAAGTTAAAGGGAGAGCTACTCCAGAGTTATGGTGAGATTTTTTAAAAGGTTTATTTATTTATTTATTTGAAAGACAGAGTTACACAGAGAGAGAAGGAGAGGCAGAGAGAGAGAGAGGTCTTCCATCCGCTGGTTCACTCCCCAACTTGCCATAACGGCTGAAGCTGCACTGATTGGAAGCCAGGAGCCAGGAGCTTCTTCCAGGTCTCCCAGGTGGGTGCAGGGGTCCAAGCACTTGGGCCATCTTCTACTGCTTTCCCAGTTCATAACAGAGCTGGATGGGAAGTGAAGCAGCCGGGACTCGAACTGGTGCCCATGTGGGATGCTGGCACTTCAGGCGGCAGCTTTACCCACTACACCATAGCACTGGTCCCTGTGATGAGATTTAAGATCAGATTTTAGTACAGAGAACCCTGCATGATCCATGAAAAGCAGTGGATTTGAAGAAAGTGAGAAGACCCTACGTGTGTTTACACTCAGTGACAAAATAGACCTCAGTGTCCAGTGGAGGGATGGCTTGCGTGTGCACCTCTGATTTGCCTGAATTATGACTCTGTATTTTATTGAATGAGTACTGAATTAGTGGTGACAGGGGAATTATAACTAACTACACTTTTAACATGGGAGCAGATTTTTTTTGCATTGTACCTCCCCCCCCAAAGATTTATTAATTTATTTTGAAAGTCAGAGTCACATATCTGCTGGCTCACTCCCTGGGTAGCCACAATGGCCGGTGCTAGACCAGGCCAAAGCCTGAGCCAGGAGCTTCTTCCAGGTCTCCCACGTGGGCAGCAGGGGCCCAAGCACCTTAGCCATCCTCTGTTGCTTTTCCTAGGCCATTAGTAGGGAGCTGGATCGGAAGTGGAGCAGCCAGGAAAGGAACTGGCACCCACTATGCCAGAACACTGGCCCCTGCATTGCACTGCATACTTATTGGTAGTAATGTTAACTGCTATCAGACATAGCAGTGGGTTTCTTAGCAAAAGAAATTAAAAATTTATAAAAGATCAAAATCCATTTTTTGGAAACCAGTATTAGATCCTCAGGCTTAATGAAAGCCATTAATAAATATGACTGTGAAAGTGTGACGTGAAAGTTTTAGAGCATGTCTGGGGACATGACTAGGCCTTAGAGACACAAGAAAGTGGATATGAGGTCAGATTACAACTATGTTCAAGAATTCTACTAGGTAAGATGATATTTAATCAAATTGTTATGTGGTCACTGAGAATCTACTGTATCTTATGTGCTGTTTCAGAATTTGGAAGACTTGTAACATTCTGGACAAGAATGGCTTATTAGAGGAAAGCCAAGCGGCTGTTAATGGAGAGACCCCAAGCAGCAATAACTTGGAACATGTACTCGCTGACCCCACATGACAGCGCCAAGGTGGAGGTCTGCCAGGCAGCTCTGTTTCCCACAGGAAGGAGCTTCTGCACAGCCACTGCGCCACCATCCTAGGGCAGAGGCTGGCGAACATTTCCTATAAAGACCCCCACATAACTCCTCATTTCTTCTGTTGGAATCTCAAAGCAGCTGTAGATATACATCAATGAATGCATGTGGCCTATGTTCCAGTAAAATCTTTATGGACACTGAAATTTAAATGTCCTTTTTTTCTCTTTAAAAAATTTTTTTTTTAGTTTTTAACAGATTCAGTGTGATTTGTAGATACAATTCTAAGAACAAAATGATATTTCCTTCCTCCCCTCCCTTCCTCCCCTCTCTTGCATGAAACATTATTATTCCTTAATTTTTCTTAACCATTTAAAAATGTAAAATCCAGGGGCAGGCATTTGGTGCAGTGGTTGGTTTCTCTTGGGATTCCCGCATCCCATATTGGTGTGCCTTGTTCGAGTCCCACCGCCTGTGTTTCCAACCCAGCTTTTTGCTGATGTGCACCTGGGAGGCAGAAGGTGTTGGCTCCAGTAGTTGGGTTCTTGCCATTCACACGGGAGACTTGGATTGAGTTCTGGGTGCCTGGCTTCAGGCTGGCCCAGCCCTGGCTGTTGCTTTGGAGAGTGAATCAGCTGATAGAGATTTCTCTGTGTGCCTTTCAAATAAAATGAAAATAAATAAAAATTTAGGGCCAGCACCGCGGCTCACTAGGCTAATCCTCCGCCTTGCAGCGCCGGCACACCAGGTTCTAGTCCCTGTCGGGGTACCGGATTCTGTCCCGGTTGCCCCTCTTCCAGGCCAGCTCTCTGCTGTGGCCAGGGAGTGCAGTGGAGGATGGCCCAAGTGCTTGGGCCCTGCACCCCATGGGAGACCAGGATAAGTACCTGGCTCCTGCCATTGGATCAGCACGGTGTGCCGGCCGCAGCGTGCCGGCCGCGGCAGCCATTGGAGGTGAGCCAACGGCAAAGGAAGACCTTTCTCTCTCTTTCTCTCACTGTCCACTCTGCCTGTCCAAAAAAAAAAAAGTCAAGTCCCGTTTTAGCTTTTGAGTAGAGGCATGGATTTGGCTTAAAGGCAATAGTTTTCTGACTTCTGTCCTGAGATATTACTAGCTGCACAACCTGGATTATCCCATAGGAAGTAAAAAGGTTCGTGGGAGACACATCCATTGCCCCAAAACATTGGCCTTGGGGCTGGTATTGTGGCTCAGTGGGTTAAGCCACTGGCATCCCATATGAGTACCAGTTCATTTCCTGACTGCTCCACTTCTGATCCAGCTTCCTGCTGATGAGTCTGGGAAAGCAGTGAATGATGGCCCAAGTGCTTGGGCCCCTGCCACCCATGATCCCGATGAAGCTCTTGGCTCCTGGCTTTGGCCTGATGTGGGACTGGCTGTTGTGGCCATCTTGGGAGTGAACCAGCAGATGGAAGATCTCTCTCTCTCTCTCTCTCTCTCTCTCTCTGTAACTCTTGTATTTCAAATAAATAAATAAATCTTTGAAAAAATAAAAAAGGCATTGGCTTTGTCACAGCAAATACAATTTTTGCTCCCATTTGATTGGTGAGAATTTTGTCATTTGGTTCCTGAAGGACTTGTGAGGCTATGACAGGCCTGGTGTGTGTACTGAGGCAGTCGTGAGCTTGGCCACAGGCTTAACACTGTGCTGGAAGGGGCCAGATCTGAGGGGTCATAGTAAGTCCCTGCCTCCCATGGTAGGCCCTTGCTCCTGTCATGCCTTCTGCTGGATGCGTGTGTCTCTGCTCCTTGTACAGATACAGAGTTGAATCACAGATGGTAGGCCCTTGCTCCTGTCATGTCTTCTGCTGGATTCGTGTGTCTCTGCTCCCTAGACAGATACAGAGTAGAATCACAGACACCTGTGGGACTATTTGGCAAAGTCAGGATGACTGAGGCCACAGTAGTTGTAAACCTGGATAAATGGTATCAGGGGACAGTGGTTGAGAGGGAAAAGAGAAAGCAGGGAGATTGGTGAGGATCTGCATTAAGAATCCAGACTCAGAATTACCTCTTTTAAACCATAGGGTCTGTCACTTTGCTCTGACACATTCATTACCTGGGTTTGAATCTCTTCCTCTGTAATCACTAAACATTTGATTTGGGGAAAGTACGGAACTCTTCTGTGGCTCCGTTTCCCCATCTGTAAAATAGGGGCAAGGTTGTGATAGAGCTTCAGCGAGTTAAGATAAGAATTAGCACAGTTCATGTAAATGTTCTTGCTTGTCGTAGGGTAAACACAAGTTGTTAACTTTATTGCTGCATATTACTTTATTATACACATATCTAAGTAGATTGTTACATGTGTATGTTTATGTATATTTCACATGCTTAGGTATATTTGTAGAGAGCCTCTGCCGTCCCTTTGTGTTCACTCTGAATCAACTGAAGGTATCAGTTCTCCTGTCCTCTGTTAATGATCCTTTAAGTCAGTTTTGTCTCTTCTTTTCTTTTTTTAGATGGGGATATTGAAACGTCACAACAGGGACTATCTAAAGAAGTTTCTTTCCCGTCTGAGAGATTTAGTCTGTTCACAAGGCAGGCCCTGTATCCCATTTTAGAAGAATTGTGGAAGGATAATAAACAGATGGGGAACCATGAGGACAATCAGAGCAGAGCTCTAGGTCACTTTGCCTTCACCAGCCAGGGGATGCTGGTTGATGGGATGCACCGTGCATATGAGGATGCAGGGAAAAGAGCTCACGAGAATACCCACCTTTTTCCTTCAAGCAAAAGACTGCAAAACTGTGACTCAGTAGAAAAGAGTTCGAAGCTTGTGGTAAGCTTATGTCATTACAATGGAAGCAGTACAACAGGCCATCTTGACAAGATTCTGGGATTCGGGGGTATCTTTACCCACATGACTTCTCATACAGAAGTGAGTGCTTGTGAGTGTAATCACTGTAGGCAGCTTCCGAGTCATCAGCAAGTGCGTGAATACCATGGGAGACACCCTGGGGAGCACCCCCATTTGTTTTCTGACCGTGTAAAAGGTTTCTTCCGCAAATCACCCCACTTTGCACACGAGAGTGTTTACCCTGAGGGAGAACAGGAAGAGTGCAGCAGATACGGGACAGTCAGCACTCAGAGGCCCCAGCGTGCTGTGCCTCAGAGGGCTCATGCAGGGGGGAAAGCCTTTGTATGCACTGAATTCCGGAAGGGTTTCTCCCTCACCGCCAGTCATCAGAAAACATGTGACGAGGAGTGTTACTACAAATGTAGTGCATATGGAAATGCTGCTCTCCGCAGGTCAGGATGTGGGAAAAGCTTCTCTCAGAACGCAAGCCTCCGTGTACACAAAAAACGGCACAGTGGAGGGAAACACTTTGCATGTAGTGAATGTGGGAAAGCCTTCACAAGGAAGTCAACACTAAGCATGCACCAGAAAATTCACACAGGAGAAAAGCCCTACGTCTGTACTGAATGTGGGAAAGCCTTCATCCGGAAGTCGCATTTTATCACACATGAAAGAATTCACACTGGCGAGAAACCCTATGAGTGCAGTGACTGTGGGAAATCCTTTATTAAGAAGTCACAACTCCACGTGCATGAGCGAATTCACACAGGAGAGAATCCCTTTATATGTTCAGAATGTGGCAAGGTCTTCACTCACAAGACAAATCTTGTCATACATCAGAAAATTCATACTGGAGAGAGACCCTATATCTGTACTGAGTGTGGGAAGGCCTTTACAGACAGGTCAAATCTCATCAAACACCAAAAAATTCACACTGGAGAGAAACCCTATAGATGCAGTGACTGTGGAAAGTCATTCACTTGGAAGTCACGTCTCAGGATACATCAGAAATGCCATACTGGAGAGAGACATTATGAATGCAGTGACTGTGGGAAAGCATTCATTCAGAAATCAACACTAAGTATGCACCAGAGAATTCATAGAGGAGAAAAGCCCTATGTGTGCGCTGAATGTGGGAAGGCCTTCTTCCACAAATCCCATTTCATTGCACATGAGAGAATCCATACTGGAGAGAAACCCTACACGTGCAGCGACTGTGGGAAATCCTTCACTAAGAAATCGCAGCTCCACGTACATAAGCAGATTCACACAGGAGAGAGGCCGTATAGCTGTGCTGAGTGTGGCAAGGCTTTCGCTGACAGGTCAAATCTCTTCACACACCAGAAGATTCACACTGGAGAGAAACCCTATAAGTGCAGTGACTGTGGCAAAGCCTTTACTCGGAAGTCAGGCCTCCACATCCATCAGCAGTCCCACACTGGAGAAAGACATTATGAGTGCAGCGAGTGTGGCAAAGCCTTTGCGAGGAAATCCACGCTGATCATGCATCAGAGAATTCACACTGGGGAGAAACCTTATGTTTGTACTGAATGTGGGAAGTCCTTCATCCAGAAGTCCCACTTAAATAGACATAGAAGAATTCACACTGGAGAGAAACCCTATGAATGCCTCGACTGTGGGAAGTCTTTCATTAAGAAATCCCAGCTTCATGAACATCACCGAATCCACACGGGAGAGAAACCATATATGTGTCCCGAGTGTGGGAAGGCCTTCACCATCAGATCAAATCTTATTAAACACCAGAAAATTCATACTAAACAGAAACCCTATAAATGCAGTGACCTTGGGAAATCTTTAAACTGGAAAGCACAACTCAGTATACATCAGAAATCTGGTACTGGGGGAGTAGAGTGCCCAGTGTCACAATCGTGGTGTGGGAATACCAAGATAGGCGAGGCCTCAGTTTGACTAGGACGCAGGAGGTAATGGAGGCCAACCTCTTCTCTAGCCAGAATTGTGAGTTTCTGGAGCACAGAGCTGATGTCCAGGTACACATCTGGCGAAACACTTGTAGGAAGTGTTTAAGCGGTGTGTAATGCTGCACCTGTTTTCTGGCCAGATACTGGGATCATCAAGCCCCTGAAAATAATAGTAAAGATGCAAGATGATTTGCATTCTTTCTTGTTTCACATTTTGGGTAAGCAGCTTTGTAAGTTCAGGCTATTGAGTTTTGCATTGGGTAGCAAAATTTCAATATTGACCAAAAAAAAAAAAAAAAGTTCCATTGTCAATTGTCTAAGACCTGGGACATTGACACCAAGGTGAAAGTTAGGCAATTCAAGTGTATAATGAAAGGAAATCATAAAATTGACACTAAAGAGGAAAAGGACTCTATTATGGTTTTTGGTGTTGTTGTTTTTAGTCTTTTGGAGAAAGTCTCCATTATTTATTGTTTGTAGTATTTATTGGTGTGTGCTGTGGCAGCAGGTGCTCAAGAGATCTGAGCATACTCAGCATATCCTGAAAGTGATCAGTGATGTGTGAGCAGCAGTCCTATACCTGCTTACCACCTTGGAACTTAACCTAATGTCACTGAAATTAATCACAGGGACCTAGATCTAGATAACAGCTCTTTTGATCATCAGCTTCTTCTATAGGAACCTGTACATTACAAAATAATAATAATGAAAGATTTTGTTTGAAAGGCAGAGTGACAAGAGAGACAGAGACAGCACTTCCATCCACTGGTTCCCTCTCCAAAGGGCCACGACAGCCAGGTCTGGGCCAGTTCGCAGCCAGGAGGCAGAACTCCATCCTGGTCTCCCACATGGGTAGCAGGGGTCCAAGTACTTTGGCCATCATCCACTACCTTCCCAAGCACATCAGCAGGAAGCCAGATTGAAAGCAGAGCAGCCAGGACCAGCATTCCAGTGTGGGACACCAGTGTCACAGGGGGTGGCTTAACCTGCACTACAATGATAGCCCCTGTGCTTTATTTTTATTTTTAAAATTTTTAAAAAGATTTATTTATTTCAAAGAGTTGCAGAGAGAGAAAGATCTTCCATTTGCTGGTTCACTCCTCAAATGACTGCAATGTCTAGGTCTGGGCCAGGTGGAAGCCAGGAGCCAGGAGCTTTATCCTGGTCTCCCACATGGGTGCAGGGACCCAAGGACTTAGGCCATGTTTTGCTGTTTTCCCAGGCATGTTAGCAATGAGCTAGATTGGAAGTGGAACAGCCAGAATTCAAACCAGCATCCATATAGAATGCTGGTGTCATAGGAGGTGACTTAACCTGCTATACCACAGCACCACCCCTTTCTCCCCCCATACCTTTTTTTTTTTTTAAAGATATTCTTTTTTTTTTCTTTAAATATTTATTTATTTATTTGAAAGGCAGAGAGAGAAAGAGAGAGAGAGGGAGAGAGAGAGAAAGAGGTCTTCCAGCTGCTGATTGCATTGCTGAATGCAATGGCCAGAGCTACACCGATCCGAAACCAGGAACCAGGAGCTTCTTCCGGGTCTCCCATGCAGGTGCAAGGGCCCAAGGACTTGGGCCATCTTATGCTTTCCCAGGCAATAACAGCTGGATCAGAAGTGGAGCAGCCTGGACTCGAACCTCAAACTGGCGCCCAGTATGGGATGCTGGCACTGCAGGTGGCAGCTTTATGTGCTATGCCACAGCACTGGCCCCAAAGATAGATTATTTTTTGAAAAGAGGACAAATTAGGAAAATGGGTTTCAAAATCTAGAATTTTTTTCTCTTCAGGTTTGTTAGTACATTGTGTACAGATTCATTACATGCTAAATTACCATGAGATACAACTGTCTTGCATTTAATTTGTTTTCTTAGAAGATGAAACATGGTTGAACATTTGGAAGAGTATTCCTATCCTCTTCCGGTCTCTACAAATTAATCTTATTTAATTGTGTTTTTAAAGTCTTCTCTCTCTTTGTCTTTTATCCTGTCAGGTAAAGAAGTGTGTTAATGTCTTATAGAACAATTATGAACTTGTTCTGTAGAGGTACTGATTTTTGCATTATGTATTTTGAGTCTGGTTTTATATGCATTCAAATTTGAATTGTCATGTCTTTCTGGTTAATTGAAACCTCATCATTATGAACAATATCTTTTTAGCTCCAATACTTTCTGTGTTAAGTTTTTATTAATACAACATTCATACTTCTCTTAAAGGCTAATGTAAATTAGTACTCAGACCACTTTTAGTAAAGGGTAGGAGTTAGTGAGTTAACTCCATTTATTCCCCTCTTGACTAATCTGATATTGATGTCATGTATTTGAATTCTGTATGTAGTTGACATAAACAACCTTACTGTTTCACAGTTAATATTCATTTAAATCAAACCACATAATTACTTCATTGCTTTTTTTATACTTTCTTGCCTGTCCTATAAGTTTCCTTCTAGAATCATTTTTCTTCTAACTGAAGAGCACCCTTTAGTATGTTAAAAATATTTTATAAATTAAAAATTTATTTGAGAGAGCGAGCGAGCAAGGGTGCTCCATTCACTCATCCAAATGCCCACTATGGCCAGGCAAGGCCAGGACAAAACCAAGAACTAGGAACTTAATCCAGCCTTCCTAAATGGGTGACAAGAACCCAATAACTTAAGTCATCAGTGCTGTCTCCCAGGGTGTACATTAGCAGGAAGTTAGGGTCAGGAGCCAGAGACAGATATTGAACACATGCAGACCAATGTAGGACATAGGCATTTTTTGTTTTTTAGAAAACTTTTATTTAATAAATATAAATTTCAAAGGAAAACTTAGATTATAGCAGTTTTCCCCCCATAACCACCCTCCCACCTGCAAACCATCCCATCTCCTACTCCCTCTCTCATCACATTCTTCATTAAGATTCATTTTAAATTATCTTTATATACAGAAGATCAACTTAGTATATACTAAGTAAAGATTTGAACAGATTGTACCCACATAGACAAAGTAAAAAGTACTGTTTGAAGACAAGTTTTACTGTTAATTCACATAGTACAACACATTAAGGACAGAGATCCTATATGGGGAGTAAGTGCACAGTGACTCCTGTTGTTGATTTAACAATTGACACCCTTATTTATGAGGTCAGTAATCACCTGAGGCTCTTGTCATGAGCTTCCAAGGCTATGGAAGCCTCTTGAGTTCACAAACTCCAGCCTTATTTAGACAAGGCCATAATCAAAGTGGAAGTTCTCTCCTCCCTTAGAGAAAGGTACCTCCTTCTTCGATGGCCCGTTTTTTCTATTGGGATATCACTCACAGAGATCTTTCGTGCAGGTCATTTTTTGCCACAGTGTCTTGGCTTTCCATGCCTAAGAAACTCTAATGGGCTTTTCAGCCAGATCCAAATGCCTTAAGGGCTGATTCTGAGACCAGAGTGCTGTTTAGGACATCTGCCATTCTATGAGTCTGCTGTGTATCCTGCTTCCCATGTTGGGTTGTTCTCTTCTTTTTAATTCTATCAATTATTATTAGCAGATACTGGTCTTATTTATGTGATCCCTTTGACACTTAATCCTATCTTTATGATCAGTTATGAACTTTAACTGATTACTTTAACTAGTAAGATGGCATTGGTACCTGCCAACTTATTGGGGTTTGGAGTCCTATGGCATGTTTCTAGCTCTGCCATTTGGGGTTAAGTCCAAATGTACAGTTCGGCACAGTCTCACTCAGACATAGGCATTTTAACCAGTGTCTTAACTACTAAGCCAAGCACTGTCCCATAGTCTTTCTTTTAAGTGTGAGTTTGCTGGTAACAAATTATGGTTGTTATTGGAAATACTTTTATTTTGTCTTTATTTTTGCATGATAACTTTTATTGAGTCTAGAATTCTAAATTGGTAGTTATTTTCTGTTAGTATTTTGCAGATAAAGGTAGAGTATCCCTTATCCAAAACACTTGAGACCAGAGTATTTTGAATTTCAATTTTTGGACTGTTTGCACATGAGATACGTGGGTGTTGGGACCAAAGTCTAAACATGAAATTCATTTATGTTTGACATATACCTTAAATACATAGCTTGCAAGTACTCTTGTACATTATTTTCAATAATTTTGTGCATGAAACCAAGTTTGTGACATTGTCCCACTAGACTTGTGGCATCATGCCAGTGCTCAATCAAAACGTGGAGCATTTTGGTTTCCAATTTTCATATTGGGGATGCTCAATCTATTTCCTTATGGTCTGTCTGCTATTGTTTTGATCGAAAGTAAGCTGTCAGTTAACTATGTTTGAAGTTAATCTTTTTCCTTTAAAATGTATTTATTTGTTTTTGAACCATTCCAAGTATACAATGGTTTGCCTAGGTGTGATTTTTCTTAATATTTGCAATTTTTTATTGTTGTTTTTAAGATTTATTTTATTTATTTGAAAGACAGAGTTACATAGCAAGATAGAGCCAGAGAGAGAGAAAGAGAGAGGCCTTCCATCCACTGGTTCACTCCCCAAATGACCACAACAGCCAGAGCTGAGCTGATCAGGAGCCAAGTGCTTCTTCTGGGTCTCCCACACGGGTGCAGGGGCCCAAGGACTTGGGTTATCTTCTACTGCTTTCACAGGCAATAGCAGAGAGCTGGATGGGAAATGAAGCAGCCAGGACTTGAACCAGTGCCCCTATGGGATGCCAGCGCAGTAGGCCACAGCTATTTATTTATTTGACAGGTAGAGTTTACAGACAGTGAGTGAGAGAGAGAGAAAGGTCTTCTTTCCATTCGTTCACTCTAAATGGCCGCAACGACCAGAGCTGCGGTGATCCAAAGCCAGGAGCCAGGGGTTTCTTCCTGGTCTCCTATGCAGGTGTAGGGGCCCAACACTTGGGCCATCCTAGGCCACGGCTTTAACCCGCTGTGCCACAGTGCTGGCCCCTGCAATGTTTTTAATGTGCAGCTTAGTGGTGTACATTTTGGGAAATTATGTGTCTGTGCACATGTGTGTTTGTGCACATTTAGGTAAATTCCTAGCTATATTAGCTATTCAAATTATGCAGCTGCTTCATTCTCTTTCTTCCAGGGATAGTCCCATTATCTAACCTGTCTTTTAAAAATATTTATTTATTTATTTATTTGAAAGTCAAAGTTTCAGAGAGAAAAGGAGAGGCAGAGAGAGAGAGAGAGAGAGAGAGAGAGAGAGAGAGAGGTCTTCCATCCGCTGGTTCACTCCCCCAATTGGCAATGGGTGGAGCTGTGCTGATCCAAAGCTAGGAACCAGGAGCTTCCTTGGTCTTCCATGTGAGTACAGGGGCCCAAGGACCTGGGCCATCGTCCACTGCTTTCCCAGGCCATAGCAGAGAGCTGGATCAGAAGTGGAGCAACAGAGACTTGAACCGGCGCCCATAGGGGATGCTGGCACTAGAGGTGGCAGCTTTATCCGCTATACCACAGCACCCACCCCTCTTTTTTTTTTTTTTTTTTAAGATTTATTTATTAGAGAAGGAGAGAGAAAAAGATACACACACTCACTCCACAGAGGGCTGCAACAGCCAGGCTGGGCCATGCTGAATTCAGAAACTAGCAGCTTATCCAGGTCTCCCAAGTGGGTGGCAAGGACTCAAACAATCGGGCCATCTTCCACTGCTTTCCTGGGTGCATTAGCAGGGAGCTGGATTGGTAGTGGAGTAGCTGGAACTTGGACTTGCACTCATATAGGGTGCTGGCATTGTAGGCAGCAGCTTTACCCACTATGCCACAATGCTGGGGGTTCCCTGACCTGTTTCTAATGGTTATTGTTTTCCTTGGATTTTGGTGGTCTTGTTTTCCCATATATGATGATTTCTGAATCAACTTCCTGACACTACGTATTAAAATTACAGGGAAAATAATATGATCCTAGTGCTATCTTCAGAGAGGATTTGCGTTTGCTTTCGACAGGTGACTAGGTGAGGAACTCTAGCAATCTGATTGCCTTTATTCAATCTACATTAAGACTTTGAAACTAGGCCGTGGTCTCTGTGAAGGCTTGTCTGTCTATATTTTTCCCACCCTCTTATTACTAAAGGATAACTTTAGGACTTAGAAATTTGAGAGTTTTATCAGGTCCCACTTCTTGGAAGGCCCTGGATTCTAATATTTGTCCCTTCAGGCCATTAATTTGTCATTAATTTGTCTCCAACCTCTTTTCCTCCATTTTCAGTCTTCAGTGTTATACATGAGTGAAGTTATATATTTCCTGCAAATGAGAAAGTCTCACACAGTCAGATCCAACTGAGGTACTCACCCTGCAAATAGACCTTGTGATTATTGTATATGAAAAGTATTTGACCTTGAGTCACCATGAGTCATATCTTACTGTATTCCAGATAAATAATTGAGAATAAGCTTTTTAAGAATGTATCACTTGGGGCTGGCACCGTGCCGCAGTAGGTTAATCCTCTGCCTGTGGCACCGGCATCCCATATGGGCGCTGGTTCTAGTCCTGACTGCTCCACTTCTGATCCAGCTCTCTGCTATTGCCTGGGAAAGCAGAAGATGGCCCAAGTGCTTGGGCCCCTGCACCCGCATGGGAGACCAGGAGGAATCCTGGCTTTGGATCGGTGCAGCTCCAGCCGTTATGGCCATTTGGGGAGTGAACCAACAGAAGGAAGACCTTTCTCTCTGTCTCTCCCTCTCACTGTCTGTAACTCTACCTCTCAAATAAATAAATAAAATATTTTTTAAAAAATGAATGAATCACTTTTGTTAAATGCCATAACATTTATATGAGGAAGAAACTATAAATTTGATACACTGGGGAAAAGTCTGATTATTAATTTAATTTCAGGCCATGTCTCAAACCAGTGGGAACACATAGAGTAGTCCTACAGTTACATTTCTTTAAATGAAAATAATTTAAATTCACACACAGGTACACATACATAAAACTTTGTATAAATGTGACTTCTAAACTTTTTTATTTAATTTTATTTATAAGAGAGCATCCATCTGGTGGTTCACTTCCCAGATGTCAGCTGGCTGGGCCAGGAACCCACTACAGGTCTCTCACTTATGTGTGGCAGGAACCTAGTTACTTGAGCCATCAGCTACTGTTGCCCAGGTTCTGCACTGGTGTGAAACTGGAGTCAGGAGTTGGAGGCAGGTATAGACCAAGGCTCTTTTACTGGCATCTTAACTGACATCCCAACCTGTAAGCCATATGTGACTTTTATATCGTATTTTCTATCTTTTTATTTTTGTATTTCCTCCACTCTTATAGTAACCCCCAAAATACCAACAGTCTGTCATCAGGCATTAAATCTAATTCATTCAAGTTTCACATTTTACAAGATTTTAAAGTGTCATTCTGTGTAACATATACTTGTGAACCTTTTTTGAAAATGATTCAGTTTATTTTGGACATGGGTATCCATTTTCACAGTGGTAGAAACTTAGTTTACTGAACCATTATGCGTTTTCAATACTTCTGTCTCACTACATATTCTCTTCATTATCATCTTTTGAAGCTGGTAATGGCCAAGAGAAGCAAAACAGTGGGAGATACAGCTTGGGGAAATGTGATTCCCTAATAAAGTGATAGACTTAGCTGTTGCCATCACTCCAGCCTTCTTTCTGACTTGCTCATGGTCCCCAGGGAGTGGCAGCCTTTCAACCATCCAGGAAAGGCCACAAGAATCAGAGATAAGGTCTTGACATTATTCTTATTTAGAACTTACTTCTAAACTTGAGTCATTTGATAAAAAGAAACATGTTTTTTGCCTTTAGGCTTTTCTTATACCTGAGAGCATGCATAAACCTATTCAGGCATCAGAATTTATAAGGTAATTCATACTTTTCCTATTAAAATAAATATTAAAGTTTTTTGTTTCAAGATCTTAGCAAATTAGCTAATGTTTAGCAAGTCTTATAACACATATAAGAAGTAGAAAAATTATACGAGTTTTGTAGTGAGTAAAAAGGAACAACGTACTGATTCATTTAATATGTTCAGAAAAGAATACTACCAAGAGTATATAAATGATTTCCTAGCTAGACATAATTAGTCAAATTGAAGAAGAAATGAAAAAGAGAAAAAAGTAATAGTGAATTATAAATATAATTTTACAGAACTACCATTTAAATGTATCAGCACTAATATAATGAACAAAATTAAACACTCTTGTTCCGGGGCTGGCACTGTGGCACAGTGAGTTAATGCCCTGGCCTGAAGTGCCGGCATCCCATATGGGCAGTAGTTCGAGACCTGGCTGCTCCACTTCTGATCCAGCTCTCTGCTATGGCCTGGGAAATCAGTAGAAGATGGCCCAACTTCTTGGGTCGCTGCACCCATGTGGGAGACCCGGAAGAAGCTCCTGGCTCCTGGCTCCTGGCTCCTGACTTCAGATCTGTGCAGCTCCAGCCGTTGCAGCCAGTTGGGGAGTGAACCATCAGATGGAAGACCTCTCTCTCCCTCTCCTCTCTCTGTGTAACTCTTTCAAATAAATAAATCTTTATAAAAAAAAAAAAAAAAGAAACCACTCTTGTCCCTTGAAAGACACTGTTAAGAAAATGAAAAGGAAAGACACTGAGTGGGAGGGAATATCTGCAATGAACATGTGATGTGAGCTGTTTCCTTAAAAAAAAAAGTAAATATGCAACCCAATTTTAAGACAACCTAATAAAAATGGCAGTATCTCAAATAGAGATAACTCATAAGGTAAGCAATGACTAGTAAGGACAAGATAGAGTTTCAGTATTAACCATCAAGAAAACGCAAGTTGAAACCACAGTGGTACACCCATTAAAATGACCAACAGTATTGAGTGCTGGAAGATGTTGAGCTACTGGAACTCATATAGCAGGTGGGTATATAAAATAGCACAAAAACTGGAAAATAATTTGACAAATCCTTAGAAAGCTAAATATACAGCTACCATACAGCTGAGTGATTCTACTTCAGTATTTAACCCAAGTGAAATGAGAATATTTTTGTACACCAAAGCTTGTACATGAATGTTGGCAGAAGGTTTATTCAAATAACTTCAAACTGGAAACAACCTGCATGGCCATCATTAGGTGAGTGGATAAATTGTATATCTCTGTAAGTGAAATACAGTTGTATAACAGTACTGCAATACTACCCAGCAATTAAAATATGCACCACTGATATGTGTAACACTATGGGATGAATTTCAAGGTCATTTCATGAGAGAATATTACAGACTTTAATTGATTTTATTTGACAGGGTTATAGAAAGAGAAAGAGAAAGAGAGAGAAAGGTCTTCCTTCCATTGGTTCACTCCCTAAATGGCTGCAATGACTGGAGGT